AATTCACGGGCAGGAAAGGCACTTGTGCGTCATGAGGTGGTAGAAAAAGGAACTGAAAAGGCACTGTGAGCTGTGGCCGTGAGAGCGCGCTGCTCACCTCTCTGCAGGGAGCGTAACGTGGCCCCCTGCTGCCAGGCTATGAAACTCTGTCATTGCATTTACACTGAGGCCACCCTTCCTGTGAGCTGCTCCCACCCAGTGCCTGAGTGCAGCACTGCCGTGCTAAGGCAGGCCCATTTCTGGGAGATGGGGGACTCCTCTGACAGGTGGCTTTGGCACAAGCACACCTCATCAGCTCTGCCAGAGCTTTCTTAGAACTACATTCCATTCTAAGCTGGGCATGGTTATGCGCATGTAGTCCCAGCTGCTCAAGAGACTGAGGCAGGAGAATTGCTTGAGCTCAGGAGTTTGAGGCCAGCCTGGACAACAAAGGGAGACTGTCTCTGAAAAAGAAAGAACTATACACTGCATTCTAACACCTCCTCAAGCCAGCCCTCCTCCCTTCCTGTCTCCTCGCAGGGGCTGCACCTGCATCGCAGCTCTCCCAGGCTCTCCTGGCTTCCTCCTATTCCCTTTGCAAGTGTTTTCCCAGCACATCGCTTGCACATTTAGTCCTATCCGGGCATCTTATCAGAGGACTCGAACCTTAGGACAGGAACCTAAGTAACTCCTTTTGCAACTCCAAGTCTATGTGGACTCTTATTTTCTTTCTACTTTTCTACTTCCTTTCTGCTTTACTCTTCTTTCACCAAACCCCTACCTAATCTTGTCAGCTTTTCCATTTATATGAAGAGAAATGTCTGCCCCACAGTTTCTGAATTTACAGATCCTTCCAGTTTGAGCACTAATTGACACTGATGTCTTTGAATCGTCACTTGAAGCTCCCAAAAGAAAGAATCGAATGCCTTCACTTGGATTAGGAGCCCATCCCTGGTCCAGTTATGGCAATTATGGCCAAGGAGACAGGTCTCATGATACAGACAGTATAGCTGAGATTCACATCTCAGCTGATGACCTGCTTTGTTTAATGAGAAAATGGAAACAATTCAGGCCAGGTGCAGTGGCTCATGCCTGTAATCCCAGCACTTTGGGAGGCCAAGGCGGGAGGATCGCTTGAGCCCAGAAGTCTGAGACCAGCCTAGGCAACATGACAAAACCCTGTCTCTACCAAAAATAATTTAAAAACTAGCCAGGCAGGGTGGAGCACTCCTGTGATCCCAGCTATTTGGGAGGCTGAGGTGGGAGGATCACTTGAGCCCAGGAAATTGAGGCAGTAGTGAGTTAGTGAGCCATGATCTCGCCACTGCACTGGGCAACAGACCGAGACCCTGTCTTGGAAAAAAAGAAAAGAAAAAAAACAATTACAATTAGACCAGAACTGCCTCATTTTCCCACCACCAAATATACCAGCCTATACCTGGACACACAGTGCCTTTGTTCCTTTTAAGGTGAAAGCCCACCAAATGAGTATGCTCCCTGGGGTGGTTTGCTGTTCTGCAGTAGATAACTAATACAACCAGCCAACATAAGAAAGAAAAAGCAGACTGGGTACAGTGGCTCACGCCTGTAATCCTAGCA